ACACGAAGAAGGAGGGCATTGAAGGCACTCCAGTGAGGTTCAAGGTTAGGTTGGTTACGAAGAGCTATGCATAGGAGAAAGGAATTGATTATAATGAGGTTTTCTCTCCAGTGATGAAGCATTCTTCGATTTGGATTTTGCTAGTTTTGGTGGCACAGTATGGATTGGAGTTAGATCAGTTGGATGTGAAGACGATATTTCTTCATGGTGATCTTGATGAAGAAATATATATATAACTCAGCCATTGGGATTCCAAGCTACAGGGAATGATAAGTTGGTTTGCAGGTTGAAGAAATCGCTATACGGTTTGAAGAAATCTCCTCGACAGTGTTATAGGTGATTGATAGCTTTATGCTTGGTCATTCGAACACTCGGAGCCAGTTTGATCATTGTGTGTATTTTCGCAAGTTGAGAGGAGGTGTGTACATCTATTTGTTGCTTTATATCGATGATATGTTGGTTGCCTCTATTTCCAGGTCTTCTATAGATGAGTTGAAAGTACAATTTTCAAAAGAGTTTGAGATGAAGGATTTGGGTGAGGCTAAGCATATTTTAGGGATGAAGATATGCAGAGATAAAGAGAATGGCAGAATTTATTTGACACAGGTAGCTTATTTGAAGAAGGTTCTACAACAATTTCATATAACATGGATACGAAGCTAGTTAGTGTACCTTTGGGAGCCCTGTAGGCTGTCTAAAAATCACAATAGATAGTCGATCCCTATCAAGCCCTGATAATGAAAGTTACAATCAGACGACTTTCTGATCTTTGCATCCGCAATTCTGCAACCGCTATAAACACGGCCTCATCTCTGAGATGACTGATCTTGATGGCTGCGACAACAGCATGACTAATATGATATTAGCAACTATTAGAGATGCTGATGAGCAGCGTAATGATTTCAGAAATAAAAGGTTGGATTTAGTTGGTGAGTTGCTTGGTAGAGAGCTATGGGCAAATATTCATCTTCAAAACACTATGGATGTTGATTCCCGTCTAACTCCAACAACGAAAGCTACAATCAAATAGCTTTCGGGTCGACAATCGAAAGCGGTAAATAGAGGACCTTTCACGTAGATCGAGAAGAGTTACAATTCGACGACGCTTCCGACAACTGATGAAAGCTCTATTCTGCAGCCTTCGCAACCAACAGTGAGAGTTACAATCTGACGACTCTCATATCCTATAACAGGCAAAGATCAATAAACAATAGCCTTTGCAATGTTATAATGGATGAGGTTACAAGTCAACAACCTCTCTCAAACGCAGAAAGTCATTCCTGCGTTTCCTAAGTTCAAAACGCACACTTGTGTGTTCCTCAGCAGACATCGAACTCTGTAACGCAGAGTTAAAGTACAAGACGCACACATAACGTGCGTTCTTCAATAGACTCAACTATGTGCCCCAAACTCTGGACGCAGAGTTGAGCTTCAACGCACACGGCCTGTGCGTCTCAAATCTCTAACAGAGATTTAACTCTGCGTCTCAAGCCTTGGACGCAGAGTTAAAGCCCATAACGCCAACTGAGGCGTTTTGACTTGTTCAAACGCAAGTCGAACGGCCTCAAAACCGTTATCCCACGTTCTGAGGGATTCTCGCCCACAAAGGAGCGGAAATAGGGGTTGGTTACACTCCACATCACCCTATAAATAACCAACTTACTCAACTGAGTAAGGGGTTGGCGGGTTGATAGGTTGATCAATCGGTTTCTGAGATCAAAACCGCAAAGAGTTGAGGGGAGCTGGTATCAAAACCACCCAAGGTCAACAAATCTCGGCAGTTGAGTAATCGGAAGGAAGAGATCTTCGGGAGATCAAGGAACTGATCAACGATCAGTTAATCAAATCCCGAAGGATCCTTTCATCAAAGGTATCATCCACTTGGCAATTAACCGAATTTTCGGTTCCAACAACTCTGTTACAGAGTTTTAACTCATTCTGAGTTCTTAAACTCGTTAAGAGTTCTTAATTAGCTTGCAACGCAAGTTAATCACATCAAACCAGACATTCGGTTTTCAACAACTCTTATCAGAGTTCTTTTTGAGAGGAATACAAGTCAAATTTTTCTTTCATTATTTCTTTTACTACAAATTTCCAACAAACAAGCCCATTTGAAGCTTTCAGCTGACCTCTCACCAAAGATAGTTAAAGATCGAGAGTTGATGTCGAAAACTCCATATGCGAACACGGTTGGAAGATTGATGTACGTGATGGTATGTACTAGGCCAGATATGTCACAGGCGGTGAGCATGGTTTTGAGATACATGTACGATCCGGGAGTGGATCATTAAGACGTCGTGAGATGGATTTTAAGGTACATTCAAGGTACGCTCAATGTTGGTTTGGTTTTCGAGCGGGACACTACAGGTGGGCAGTTGTGCATTGGCTATGTTGATTCGGATTATGTCAAAGATTTAGATAAGCGCTGGTCTATGACGGGGTATGTGTTCACTTTGACCCGTGCACCGGTGTGTTGGAGATACATCTTACAGTCTACAGTGGCTTTGTCTACGATGGAGGCAGAGTATATAGCAATAACAAAGACTGAAGGAGGCTATTTGGCTTCGAGGACTTTTGGAGGAACTTGATATATCGCAGCGGTCTGTTACTATTCATTGTGATAGTATGAGTGCTATCTATTTGGCGAATAATCAAGTTTTTTTATGCGAGGACGAAGCACATTGACGTTCGTTATCACTTTGTTCGAGATGTTCTTGAAGATGGCGATATAGAGATTGTGAAGATCCACACGAAGGATAATCCGGCGGATATGCTCACTAATGTGGTTCCGAGCAATAAGTTTGATCATTGTCAAAACTTGTTGCATATTTGTGATTGTTGAGACCGTTGACGACCATTTGTATGAACTACGTGCGGTTTGATCCTTTGGAAAAGGGGGAACGTAGGCAACCACATTGGTGCAACCGAATTTGGTGAGATGACGCATTGATGCTCTTCGTTTGGTGTCGGCTTAGTTTTCGGAAAACTTCACCAAGGTGGAGAATTGAAGAGAATACAGGAAAAAAGGGCAAAAAACAGGTTTGGACTTCTAGCGGTCGACCGCGAGTGGCACGACGGTCGACCGCGAGTGGCACGACGGTCGACCGCAAACGTGCACGCTAGCTGGAAAAGTCTCTGGACTTTTCGCGGTCGACCGCGATTGGCGTGGCGGTCGACCGGCCAAACCCTGTAATGTTTTTCAGTGTCTGTCATAATGTCCAGTCGACCGCACGTGTCTCTGCAGTTGACCGCGAGTCGGGCTGGGCCTGAGTTTGGTTTCCTGTTCGCATTGGGTTTGTGTTTTGATATAAATTGAAACACGATTTTGTAGGGTTTCTTAACATAGATTTTAGATTGTACTGAGCATATTGAGAGCGAGAACTTGTGAGCAACTTGAGAGATTTGGTTTAGGGTTAGTGTGAGTGATTATGTGAGATTGTAACCCTTTGTACTCTCCTTGATTTAGTGAAATCTCTCTATCCTCTCCCCGTGGACATATGCAAATTGTCGAATCATGTATATCTCTGTGTTTGATTTGATTTGTCGTATTTGGTTTGAATTGTGCTCGTGTGTGGTTGGTTCTCTTCTCCCGTGATCACAGATTTGTTCGGTGTGCGAGCACGCTTCCGCATAGACGCGCAACAGTATGTGGATAACATACTTAACTAGCATGAATATTTTAAACATCATCAAAGATAGCCCCCTGAAGACATCGATTCTCGATGATTTTAGGTTCTACGAATCGTGCCAAAAGAACATGCAGCAAAAGAAGTCTAGATTTAGTGGGAAAATGTACAACAGATGCATTACCTGCAATTAATTCTAACCGCTAATCCAGTGACTCGGCTGAGCAGAATGATTCTTCTAATCAGATTGCAAAAAAAAAACAAAGAATTAAGTACAATCAAGTAATGCATTGGGATTATGTATATGAGTGAGCTAAGTTCTTGTTTCATTCTTCTAGGTTAAAGTTTGTGAAACCAAACTAAAGTGATCTATTGTACTGGTTTCTGGATTCACTCTGCAAGTTCATAAAAATGATATTGGCAGAGTTCATCTGCTAGTTTATGTTTCTTGTTTAGCGCTTGTTCACAGTAGATCCTTTCTTCTTTGTCTTTTATATTTTTCTTTGGAAGTTACAGATTGCAGTCCTTTCTATTATCCTTCTATTATAGCAAGTGATCCAGATACAACTAATAAGATTACTGAGTTTTTAGATGTAGCTCCTGCAGGCAACCACGGTTAAAGTTTGTCGGCCGCTACAGTCTTTTGCTATCTACGCTGACTACAAGGACTTTTTTTCATAATATATGAACAGATAACTACAAGTCTTCATATTACAGGTTGTATTTGCTAGATGATCTGGATTACCTTTATCTTTTTTATGTTCATTCTGCTACTTCCAATTTGTGCAAGTGGCTTGAAGTCAAAATTTAACCATTACAGTATTGGTTTCTGAATAGGTTTTCCAATACCGATGCATGCTTGTACTCTCTTTGTTCGGGTTAATCGTGGAAGACCCCTTGTACTATCGCCAAATTGAACCTACTACCCTGGTATTTCTATTGTTGTAGATAGATCCCCAGAAAGAGTCTATTGTTGCAAATAAACTCACCAAGTGAAAATCTATTGTCACAGATAGACCCTGTGAGGAGCGTCAAAATATTTTCACTTAGGGGGTCTTTTCACAACAACAGAACTACACGGGTAGCAGGTTCAATTTGGTGATAGTACAGGAGGTCAATATCCAATTAACCCTTGTAATTTTTTTCCCCCTTTTGAACAAGAGCATATATTCTTGTTGAGTGGAGCGTAGTAGGTCAGATGTAACTGAATCCAACCCATACCCACTTCTGTCCCTATTCATGGCATCGTTTGCTTTGCCACCATTCCAAACCGCCCACTGTGAATCTTGTGATCTTGTCACATGTCCACAAACTTTTTCAGTGTACACATATATAATACCCATACGCAGAGCATACATAGAACAAATAAAAAGTTTTGACACTTTTTGTTGTCCCTGTTCCCGGATAGAGTATGGTCCCTCTGCAATACAATTATTTATCCCCTATTCATTGGATCCAGTTTTTTGAACGTTTGTTAACGCTAGTATGAATCCAGTGCTTGTATCAGTATTGTTGCTTGCACTCGCGGTATTCGTAGTTTCAGAATGCGGGACTAAAGCCATCATATTCAACTTTGGGGATTCAAACTCTGATACTGGAGGGTACAGTGCAGGGTTGGGCTTTAATACACCGCTCCCTATTGGCCGCCTCTTCCCCCATCAGCCCAGTGGCCGTCTTTGCGATGGTCGCCTCGTCATTGATTTTTTGTGTCGGTACTTATAATGTATTCCATGCAGTATGTGCAGTTTCATTGTTTTGATCTTGTTTGGGTTAACTCTTGAACTGAATAATTACAGGTGAATACTTGAATATAAGCTACCTGAGTCCGTATCTGGAGTCCTTAGGGTCTGATTTCAAGCATGGTGCAAATTTTGCCATCTCCGGGGCGGCAACACAAGCCTATGCTACGAACCCTTTCTCTTTGCCCGTTCAAGTCCTTCAGTTTCTTCGCTTCAAGTCACGCTCTCTGCACCTCCTTGCACAAGGTATTCTTTTATTCTGTTGCATTATAATTGATCACACTGTTAATATGAGATGTGAAAATATTTTTACTGTGGGATACTTGATGATTCAATTCAAGCCCATTTTTCTTGTTAAGGAACAATATACTTGGGCATGATCTTCTATGAATCTGTGGCAGGTTCGAAGGATTTGATCAACGAGGACGGTTTCATGAATGCGCTTTACACAATTGATATAGGCCAGAATGATCTATATGGTGCTTTTGCTTCAAATTTCAGTGATAGAATTAACATCACCGTCAATGAGATTAAAAATGCTATACAGGCAAGATTTCCCTTTCTTCACATATTATCATTGTTTTGACTTACTACCCTTCTAGTCTTTTTATTGCGGATAGACCCACAAGTGAATTTTTTTGGCTATAATACCCTCAGAGAAAGAGAAAATTGTTTCTGACAAATATAGATCCCCTGAAGGTGACAGAGTAGGAAAACTTCCATTAAAGGGGTCTAGAGATATTATTAAAATTCAAAACAGTGATACTACAGGTGGTCTATCTGCAATTAACCCTAAGAATTAAGATGTTGCTAAATTTGCAAGTTTAGATGATGAAAATATGTTAAGGATTAAATATATGAGAATATTTGTTCTTAAGCATGTTTTTCCTATGCAGACTATATATGATCACGGTGGCAAGAACTTTTGGGTGCACAACACTGGGCCCTTCGGCTGTTTACCCGAAAGGGTTTCATTAATGAAGAAAAACAACAGTGATCTCGATGCATATGGATGCCTCATTACTCTCAACAATGGAGCTAAAGAGCTGAACTTCAAATTAAGTGCCGTTTGTGATGAACTGAATTCAGAGTTGGAGAATGCTACTGTAGTATATACCGATATCTACTCAGTTAAGTATGATCTCATAGCCAACTCCTCCAATTATGGTAAGTGAAAGATCAAAATTTAAGCGTTATAATCCTTACTTGATATGTGAGATGATTGAATGGTTCTTTTGATTTCATCTAAAGGGTTCGAGAGTCCACTAATGGCATGTTGTGGCTTTGGTGGACCTCCATACAACTTCAACATGAGCATAAGATGTGGATCTACAAGAAGCCAAGCCTGTTCAATTAACTCGAAGTACATAAGTTGGGATGGAGTTCATTATACAGAGGCTGCTAACGCCATGGTTGCTTCGAAAATTCTCTCTACTGAGTACTCGAAACCTCGCATAAAATTTGATTACTTTTGTAGTGCTTGAATAAAATTTTTTGTTAGGTTTCCTTCGTGAAGGATGTCATTTGAATTCCGAAGAAGCTAATGTCTTTGGAATATATAATATAAGACTAAGAAGAACTCTTCTCGGAGTATTTGGTACTAATGTGTTCCACGTCTTCGAGTATTGAGTTGAGATCAACTAACAGGTAAAATCATAGAGGGTGAGCAGCGGACAAATCGCCATCACTTGCCACTTACTACGATATACACATTGGCATCTCCACTTCATCTTAAACAGAGAATACTAAATTTTCTCATAACATGAGCATCATCTCGACATCATCCGCCATCAAAGGTTTAGAAACTTACAAAAAACACACAACAACGCAAAAAGAGCTTTGCTCAGAGAAAGGCTGTTTTTTATGCTGATATGACTACTTCCTCCCATCATCATCTTCTAAGGGCTCATTAATTATATGAAAGATACATGGCTGCTCGAATCATGGCTGATTTCTTCTTCTTTTGTTCCCCTGTCCGAAGCTAAAAAAACACGTTATCGATACTTTTCAAGCTGTCTATCTTTACCCCCACTGAATATGAAATTGTTTCTGGCCATGTGCATCGTGCACAAACAAATTGTGGGAAGTAGAGCGTTTCATAGCAACTTCGAGTACTTGCGATGAAGGAGCCCCCCTTGCTTCGCAATAAAGAACAGAGGCATTGATTTTGGTCATCAAGGTTTAAATTTTGGAGGAAGAGATCGCAAACCCTTGTAGCATCCGAACAAGAAAAGAAGATGCTCTAGAGACTCATCCGATGAAGAACATAGATTAAAAAAACCGTGACACCGTTCCAACCCTTTTTAGCCAGCATCAATTTAGTTATTGAAATTACAATGAATAGTCAAGATTAAGAAAATTGGACCCACTCCAATTATTAATTGGAGAAGATCTGGATCCATATAATGTAGTGCTGCTGTTACAATTGGTTATTAATGATCATTTCTCATTTTACTAAATCTCATGTGGGTAATAAAATACATACTTCTTGTTATGCTAAAAAGACATTGTGGGTAGATAACTTGGTAGATAACTTTCATCCCGCAGGAATTTAAAAAAGAAGTGAGAATGGCAATGCTAAACTTGTGCAGTACTATACAAAATAAATAAACTAGACTTATCCTCATTAATTGAAAGCCATGCGCTTATAGTTATTGAAATCCTTCAAATATAAAAAGGAATTTGTTAACGAAAGTCCAGGAAACTCATTAGTAAAGAGAGAGATATATGGGAGAGGGACTGTGGGGTCTAGCGTTGCCCACTATGTTTCTCTCTCCTCACAAGCTTCTCTATCTCTCTTCACTAACAAGTGCTCCAGGGCACTCTTTAATAAAACCCGTATAAAAATATCAAAACTTAAGTTCTCCATTACATCCAGCACATCTGTTATGTTCAAAGCAAGACTCTGATCTATAATAATATATCATTGCTTTAAGCCGTCATCTTCTTAAGGGATATGGTATTAGCTTTGTTTGCTCATAATTCAGGACTCTACTTGGCCAAAGTTGTCTTTAGTCTCTAACGTACAAAATTTTAATACTAAACAATTCTCTAAACTGCCTTATCTCTTTCCGGTTACTTCTCAACATGCTCACTGTTGGAGTTGGCTCAATTTCCAACTCATTTATTGTTGTAGTTTTTCTGCATGCAGATATAATTTTGCATGGTCTTTTCGGGCATGATTCAGTCATTATTTGGCTTGGAAATCTACATGAAAGTTGTAGAGGTGCATGTATAGTTTACTTAAAGTTTTGAATCATAGGAAACGAAGCAGTATTGAGGGAATTATGATCAGTCAAAGTACCCTACTCGAATCTGGACAGATTTGTGTATTCTCAAGCATTTTGAAAGATGAAAATGTTCATCAAGGCCTATAAATAGGCATCCTCTCATTGTGGAGAGATCATCCAAAAATCATCCAAGTTTTCCACTTATTCTCTTGAAAGTATAGAGTTAGAGTGAATGAGAGTCTCTTGTGTTGTAGAGATCTCGAGTATTGAGTTAATAGAGAGAAGCGTAAATGAGGGATGTGTGGAAGTCGGCGTTGTCGGGTGTGTCGTGTGTGCCTTGTACCCATTTGTTGATTTCATTATAGTGAAGTATCCTCCAAGCTCCAAGCTCAACCCGTGGCTTTTTTCGTTTGGGTTTTTCAATTAAACCCTTGTGTCTATTATTTGTATGATTGTCTTTTATCTTTTTGTCATTAAGAACAAGACCCTGAAGTGGTGTTGAGAAGTTTTGTAATTCGTTAACACCGATAATTGGTATCAGAGCGTGGCTGTGGTGTTCTTAATGGCTGAAGACAAGTCAATAATTGGCGGTGTGAAGGTTGAGCTAAAGCCATTTGATGGGCGAAGCAATTTCACACTATGGTAGCGCAAAATGAAGAATATCTTGATTCAGCAAGATCTACATATGTGCATTATGGGGGTTGAGCAAAAGCCAAAGACGATGTCTATGGAGGCTTGGAACAATGCAGACCTTAAGGCGATGAGCTCGATTGAGCTACACTTATCCGACGAAGTCACCTACAATGTGATGGAGGAGACTACTGCAAAGGGCACATGAGAGAAGTTAGAGAATCTCTACATGTGAAATACTCTCTCTAACAAGCTTTTCTTAAAAGATGATTTGTTTAATCTTCGTATGGAAGATGGAGATGATATTATGGAGCATCTTAACGTGTTTAATCGTTGTATAACGAATTTGTTGCGAGTGGAGGTCAAGTTTGAAGAAGAGGATAAAGCTTTTTACGATCCTTGTCGTCGTCATTCAAACATTTCCGGACCACACTCATGTTTGGCAAGGAGACTCTTCAATTTGAAGAGGTTGTTCAAGATATCATCTCTCATGTCAAAATGAACAAGTCCACGGGAGCTGACTTGAAAAATGAAGGCCTACTCGTCAAGGGGTTGAACGATCGGGGTCGATCAAAGGAGAAAGGTGTTAAGTTGGACAACTGTGGAAGATCTAAATCCAAGAGCCACATGGATAAAGAGTGCTACTACTGCCATAAGAAAGGACACTTCAAGAAGAACTACAAAAAATTCAAGGCAGATCAGAAAGAAGGGAAGAAATCTGAAACCACCTCTTTGGCTGGAGTTGCCACGAAGAACAGTGCTGAACTTCTTTCGGTTACGTCAGGTGAAACAATTTCTAATTCATGGATTCTTGATTCAGACTGCTCTTTCCATATGTGTGCAAACAGGTTTTGGTTCGATACATATGAAAAGAAAGATGGAGGCGAAGTCCTCATGGGGAACAATGTCGCGTGCAAGGTCATCGGCATTGGCACGATGAAGGTGAAGATGTATGATGGCATCATTCGCACTTTCGGCAACGTGCAACATGTTCCTACACTCAAGAAGAACCTGATTTTTTTTGGCACTCTAGATGCAAGCGACCTCACCTACTCCTCAAGTGGAGGCAAGATCAAGATTTGTAAGGGCTCGATGGTGATCATGCGAGAAGAAAAGCTTCCCAGCAACTTGTACAAGCTTCTAGGAGATACTGTCTTAGGTGAAGTTGTTGTATCCACAACTTCCAAAGAGAACTCCAAAATTGACTCTGAAGACTCGACTCATCTATGGCATCTTCGTTTGGCCATATGAGTGAGAGGGCTATAGAGGAACTGCACAAGAGGAAGTTGTTGAAGAACATGGAGACTTGCAAGTTGGATTTTGGCAAGTAGTGCGTACTTGGAAAGCAATGCAAGGTCTCATTTAAGCCAACAAATAAGGAGAATCGTGCAAAGGGGATTCTCGACTATATTCACTCTGATGTATGGGGGCCGGCACCTACAAAATCTCATGGTGGTGCTCGCTATTTTGTCACCTTCATGGATGTCTATTCACGAAAAATTTGGGTCTACTTCATGCAGGAGAAATCTGTGGTCTTTGAGAAGTTTAAAGAATGGAAGCCGGAAGTAGAGAACCAAACTGGACGGAAGATCAAGTATTTGCGAAGTGACAATGGAGGTGAATATCGTGATGGGCAATTCCTAACATTTTGCAAGCAAGAAAGTATTACGCGATACTTTACCGTGAAGAAAACTCCACAACAAAATGGCACGACAGAAAGGATGAACCAGACTCTCATGGAGAAAGAAAGATGCATGAGACTTCATACAGGATTGCTCGAGTCTTTCAGGGCTGAATTTGTTAACCATGCTGCCTACTTGGTTAATCGGTCACCATCTAAGCTGCTGAACTTCAAATATGTCGAAGAAGTATGGTCAGACAAAGAAGTTGACTATTCTACACTGAAGGTTTTCGGATGTAAGGCATATGTTCATATTCCGAGTGATGAACGGAACAAGCTGAAGCCAAAGTCACTCGAGTACATTTTTCTCGGTTTTGAGAAGGGAGTGAAAGGCTACAAGTTGTGGGATCCAAAAAACAAAAAGAAATTGCTGAGTAGAGATGTCGTATTTAATGAAAGACTTGGAGCTGAAGCTATTGACAAAGATAAGGATCATTGTTGTACTGAAATTCCTTTATCAACGGAAGGTTATATTCCAGAAAGTCAAGCTGAGGTGGAGCAACACGGCAAATATCAACAAGCCAAAGAGGTTCATGTAGAAACTACAAGTATAGCACAATCAAGACAGAGAAGAGTCATCAAGCCTCCTCAACGATTCGAATGGGAAGATGAAGCATGATATGCACTCTTAGCTAGCGGAGAAGATCCTTCTACTTTCAAAAAAGTCATGAAAAATGATGAGCTGCAAGAATGGATAGGTGCTGTGTCGGAGGAGATGGAATCTCTCCATAAGAACTCTGTTTGGGAGTTAGTTCCGAAACCGTAAGATCGAAAGATCATCGGATCCAAGTGGGTTTATCGGAAGAAAGAAAGCATAAATAAAGCAAAGGCTCCTATCTACAAAGCAATGTTAGTTACGAAGGGGTTCTCGCAAAAGGAAGGAGTAGATTATGATGAAATTTTCTCTCCAGTGGTCAAGCATACATCCATTCGGGTGTTGCTATCTCTTGTAGCACAGCATGACATGCAGCTAG